GGTGCCTTACTCACTGAGTCACAGGCGCCTCCCTGGGGACAACTTTTTATATTTTGCATAGTGGTTACCCTTCATGGTCTTGAACGTGCTGCCTTTCAACTGTGCCTGCAGAGCTGGAGTGTAGGCCACCATGAGGAACAGGCTGTACCTTATGTGGGTCATGGTCCATGGTTCCACATAGGAGATTTGCTCTGAAGAACAGCTGCCTGTGCTTTGAGGCTGCATAGCTTCCATGGCATGTTGGAAATTTAAGTGTGGTCCTATGCCAGATGCATGGCATAGGTGGTCCCAGCCAGTCTTTAGTGTCCATTATTTCAGGTTCTTACGCTGAAAGCAGGAGGGTGACAGAGCAAGTTAGATGGCTCAGAGAAGTAACTCACTCATAACCTCTGGCAAGCACCAGCTAATATCCGAATGTTGTCTGGTATCTGTGGACTGCCTGTGGTCTGCCATTTCCTACATGGAAGCTGGAGGTCTCTGAGTAAAGCTCTCCAGTAGTTTCTGAGAAAACTGGCTGATTACTAGAGGCTCCTGAACATGGTACGTGTGTTTCAGAGAGAAGGAAAGAATTCTTAATAAAACTCTGATGTAGGCATTGCAATTATAGCTGACTAATAGGCTTCCTCAGAGCAGAGAACATTCCCATGTGTCAGCCATGAAATGGTGCGTTCCTTAAAGGCAGCCAGCATCTTATTTATCTTCGTCTCCCTCGCTCCTTCTCACACAGGAGTGTTTATTACCATGGAAGCAATAAATGCAGGTAGCAGGGAAAGATGGATGTAGTCTAGTCTAATCTGAACACACACACTGCAGGGGGTTTTCCAGCTAAGCCTGGTGACTGTGGATTTATCCAATGACAGTCACCAGGATTCCAGAGGAGCCCTGCATATCAACTCCTTTGTGCCCAGCTCCATGGGATCGGTGAGCTTTGAAAAGCAAATGACCGCTTTGATGCCAGGTTCTAATGTGAGCTGAGTTGGGGCTGTATTTCTGTCAAACAAGATTACTGCTTGTAATCAACCCTGAACAAATGTGACAAGGTATATGAACACTAGAATAATGACTTCCTTTCCCAGAAATTGGCTCTGATGATATTCAACTGTATGGTGCATGCATGGAGTGTAAATATCCTTGGCTTTGAGCAAGCGTATCTGAGCTGTAGCCTCTGCATTGTGCCTAGTGGAGAACATTTATCTTTCAGTGCCTGGGAAGTTGCAATAAGGATATTACTTTGGGATTTAGAGCCAGTGAGCTATATTCTCAGCTACTTTGTTATTTACAGAATGGCAGCACTTAGGAAGATCACTTCTACCTGGTTTTGGACTTTAGTGGTCTGTTCAAGGACATAATAGTTTCAGGGCAGTATTTAAAAAATATGTGCAAAATCCAACTAAGAGTCTTGTTTAGGGTGTCCCTCTAATATAACTCACATAGTTGGTGACTTGCTGGAAGTGGTCAGAATATAGTTGTACTCAGCCAGTGTTTGTTACTGCGACCCAGTAAGCAGGATCAGCAAGAGGAAAGATGTAAGTGGAGTCTGGAGAAATCCATTTGCCAGGTTTCCTCTGCCTTCTCCTTCCTGTGGTAAGTCACACAGGTGTCACTCTCCTTACTGAAGCCAACATGCAACAAGATATGTGTGATGTTTCTGCCCAAAAGCTAGTTTGAGACTCAGAGTTTCAGGACTTTCTTAGGGGTTGATCTGCCTAGCAAGTACCAAAATTCCAGAAGGAAAATAGGTATTCTCCATAAATCACATTGTTTCTATAAACAGCCTAG